TTCTATTTAAATATCCTATTTTCCAGAAATTCATAATTATATCCATGATATACAATAACCCTATAACATATTACTACTACACTATCAATAATACTAGTACCAAATAGTGGCGTAGTGTTATAATGAATTGAGTGTCTTACAAAAAATTATATTTGCTCTTATGAGATTGAAACTTTGATTGAATGAGCTTTATGAGTTTGTTTTTACTCAGTTATAGAATAAAAAATGTTGATAATGACTACAATAATATTGTAATAATGAATTTTGTTTTTATTTTTGTCCCAATAAAAGTCAGTAAAAATAACAATTTTTATTTTCTCTTAATATACGAATATTAATATAGAGAACTTGTTGAAAGGATTTTTTTATTCAATTTCATTTCACTTGAGGATATTTTAAATAATAATGATAATCGATTTACATAAAGAATGCTTTCATTTTAGTTATTAATAATATGCAGTAATATTTATAGTAAAAAAATATTAATGAGAAAATTACCTTAGGGGAATAGTATATTTTTATGAAATTTGTATACGTACATACAAATGTAGATGTAGATTGAAACTTGAGCTATTATGATATTTTCAATCATTATTACAATAACGTAATGATTTTAGTTTGATTAATAATATTATACCTAAATAGTTAATAGTAGGTATTTATATAATGGCAATATATTATTATTTCAATTAAAAGACTGGTTGTCGTGCCAATTATTATGAACAGTGCTATGAAATGATGTTGTATATGGGAACCTACTTTGCCGTTGTGGCGGCAAATTTAATTATGATCAATTTAATTAGGATAAATGAACACGAGAGCTATTTCGGCGGGCACTGTAGCAATTAACAGTGTCTGACAGGTTCAACCATACCGATAAGTTCAAGACGGATATCCGAAAACAAAGAAGTTTCCATACACTTATATGGAAATTTCGTCCAGGTATTACGTACTGGGATGTTTGTCTGTTGAGGAAACTGACTTTGGCAGAATCAATCTTTTTACATGTAATGAATCGCGAACCTGGTTGAGAGCGTTTCATTACATGTAAAAATTGCTTCAGCGACTGTTGGCAAAGAACGAACAGGATCTCAGTTCCTAAAAAAAGTAGATCGTGAAAGCTAAGGCGTAAAAAGGATAGAGGTTGGCTAGATCAGTCACCGTTGATTTCTTCCTCAGAAAACCGTGTTGACAATTACTGTAAAAGGAATGTAATGGAAGTATTTTTCTATATTAGGTACGAACTAGGCTGTGCGGATTATTGGACGTTTTTTTTAAATTGGAAGTCACTCTTTCCCATTTATAACACTACTTAATTTAATAAAAATGTAGATAAATATTGCAAATCAGACGAATTGCACGTCTATTGCAGATTAAGTGATATTTTATAACATTAGCTGAATTGGTAGTAAAGTTAAGATTTTAATAAAATAAGCGGTATATTATGAAAATCTCCTTGTTCACGTATTGTAAAATAATCCTTTCGAAATAGATGTTCTACATTTTTTAACAAGTGTAACAGATCTTAATTACGACGATTCACAATAGTATAAAACAATTTATTCGTAAATTTTTTCGTAACAATTTATTCATATTGAAAATTTGATATTATTAAATTAATTATAAATAAATTCAGTATTGGTCTTATAAATTTTTTTAATGGCAATAATTCTAACAACATTTCTTATGCTCGAAATAATTTATCATGGTTCTGAATTTTCTATATGTAGAACAGGTTATTATTATCAAATATTTGCAAGTGTATTATTCATTTTAGAAGTAACTTTAACAAAATGTAAAAACAAACATGCGTACACAGTACACACGTAGTATGTTTTACATGACAAATATTTTGAGTTTATTAGGCCAAAGTTTTAACAGCACGTAATACAAAACTTTGATAACGAACTGTAAAATATTCAATTGGTTTTAAATTTACATTTTATTTGTTATAATTTATAAATTTTTATAAGAAATTTTTAAGATTCTATAATCACACACGCATACATGTTGAAATATTTTAGTATTTTTATCCAATAAACAAAGCGATAGCTGTTGCACGGATTACTATGATCGTGAATCGAGGCGGTCATAGTGAATTCGATTTAATTTGATTACTAATTTCGGTTCGGTTGCTTTTTTTGAAATTCGGTTCCACCGGGAGACACCGGGACGAAACCCGACACCGGGAGCTTTTTTTCAAACATTTGGAATTTTGATAATAAATTTTGACTAAAGTTCATTAACAAATTAAATAACTTTTGGAAAATAAATTGTCCCGACATTGCTTCTAATTTCAATTGAATTAAATGTTAATTTCAACAACTTCTCGACGTTTGGAAAATTCATTGAAAATATATTATTAATTCATTTATTACATTGCAATACAAACAAATTTTTAATTTATTTTAGCAAATATTTTCAAAATTTATAGCACAAAGTGGGATTCTAATTCAATTTTAATAACTTGGTTACCATATAGAACATAACATTGATTGTTTATGCGTATTATTCATTAAAAACCAAATAAATCTAGAATTTTTTTCAATTAGCAAAATTCAGAAATTCAGATGGCCGTACCTAAAAATATATACTTGACATATTTGTTATTATTAATTTTATTTAAATTGCCATGATCATGGATTTCAAATTATTCAGTATTGTTATACCCTGCACTTCGTGAAGGGTATATTAACTTTGGTATGGAGTTTGTAACTACTTGAAGGAGTCATCTGCTGTATGGACATATATATATATTCTTGCTCAGCGTAAAATTCTGAGTCGATTTAGACATGTTCGTCTGTCCGTCCGTCCGTCCGTCCGTCCGTCCGTTCGTCCGTTCGTCCGTTCGTCCGTTCGTCCGTTCGTCCGTCCGTCCATCCGTCCGTCCGTCCGTCCGATCGCACGATCGACACCAAACTTTCACAAGTTTTTTCTTTTGTGCCAAGGATGAGCCCTATTGTTATTGGACTAATTCGGACAACGGGTTCGGGTAGCTGCCATACAACTCAAAGAGTTTATTTTAAATATTTCAAGAACTAATAAAGGTATAAATATAAAATTTTGTATACATGTGTCCAATTATATTCTACACATGCTCTAAAAATTATAATGGAATAGCTGCACCGGTTCGCGTGGGTTACATACATCTCCAACAGCAAATTTTTTATATTCGGAAAAATAATAAAGTCAGATTCATGAAACTTAGCAGTCATGTGTCCAATTATAGGTCAAATATATTTTTGAAGTTTTAGAGGAATTGCTTGACAGGTTCGGGTACCTGCCATACAACTCCAGAAGCTAATTTTAAATATTTGGAAAAATAATATAGTCAGATACATGAAATTTGCCAGTTGTGTGTCGAGTTACAGGTCAGATATATTTCTGAAGTTTTGGTGGAATTGCTTTACAGGTTCGAGTAGGTCCCATACAAGTCTAAAAGCTTATTCTAAATTTTTGGAAAAATAATAAAGTCAGATTCATGAGCTCTGGCAGTCGTGTGTCCAATTATAAGTCAGATATATTTCTGAAGTTTTGGTTGAATTGCTCTACAGCTACGAGTAGTTCCCATAGAAGCACAAAAGTTTAAATATTTGGAAAAATAAAGTCAGATTCATGAAACTTGGCAGTTGTATGTACAGTTATAAATCAGACATATCCGTGAAATTTCTATAGAATGGTTTCACAGGTTTGAGTAATTGCTATACAACAACGAAAGGTGCAGAGTATAAATCAATCGGTTTATACCGACTGAAACGTTTTTACTTGTTTTTATTTTCATTAAACAACTATTAACAAATTTTTATTTTCATTTTAGAATATAATGAGTTATGTACATATACATATATGCATAATAATATGTACATGAATCCTTAAATAGAAATAACTTATTTACAAAATAATTAAATTAAAATTGAATATGAATTTTATTTGACCAATGAACCTTTCACTTCATTAATTAATTATAAAAATGGTTTTCTATTTGAATTTGGTTCATTTAATAAATAATTTCGCATATTGATATAAATAAATTGAGTAATTAGATTTAGAGGCAAAATATTGTAGAAGTTCCAATTTATAATGGAATAAAATTTATTTGTTCTTGCATTTTTTCAAAACAATAAAATATAATTATTAATAATATGTATGTGTTAATTAATGCAGCCAACTGTACTTTTTTATCATAAAAAAAAAAAAAAAAAAAAAATATAATATTTCTTAAAATAATCTAAAATTAGTATTGTTAATACAAAGTCTTTAAATGTGGTAAAAAGGATATATTGTGATTTAAAACTATACATTTTTTGTTGTAGCAGGTAGTAAAATGTTTTTAAATGATCTGAAAATAATCTAAAAATAATTTGAAGATGCACATGTTTTTTATTTTTATTGCTTAGCCTTATTTTTGAAGATAAGGATAATAAAATAGTAGGTAAACTTGAAATGGCATAAAAGATAAAGAATATTTTGAATATACATACAAAGTTAAAATACAATCAATTTAATATTTGTTATTTATCACATTATAAAAATTTCCAAAATAATAAAAATAAATTTAGTAAGAATTATGTATCTAATTACTATTAAGAAAAAGAGTGGGAGAAATATGTAATATAAATTTTTTGTATATAAACCATAGTTTTAAGGAAATAAAGGGAGTTAAAAATTTAGAATACAGAAGACACACTTCTTTTAAATTTTGACAGAGAATTATTATTGTTATTAAACGCAGGAATCCTAGTTTAATACTATAATAATTACTTGTGACGAATTTCGAGTTAGAACACGCCAGCTATTTATTTTCGAGACAGAAAGTCATTATTTCATTGAACGTAGGAATCCTAGTTCTTTGTTGTAATAATTATATGTGACAAAATAAAATCAGCGAGTACAGGAGACAATAATTTTTAAGGAAAAAATTATAATACTTTACATGTTTTGGTGACCCCGACGTGATACCGACGTGATCTGAGTTATACAATCGAAAAAGCATTACACACTCATCATGGAACAAGCAGCTAAAGATCAACTGTTGTTATCAAAGCAAATTAAGACGTTGCAGCAAACGTATTATCAGCTAGCCGAGGAAAGAAGATCGGTTAAGTTGATAAATGAAAGGATCCATAAGTTAGATGACTTGTGGAAATCATTTGAAGAAAAAGATGAGACAATTCGATTGAAGTATGGTACGGAAAAATCTCACTTTTATTTTACCGAAGAGTTATATCAACAAGTCGAATCATTATATACTACATTTCGAGAAGATTTAATGAAGAATGCCGAAGCTAAATCTAAGGGCAGCTTAGGCATTGATGAACCGTCGAATAAGATTGAAGCATTGGATGTAAATGAAGGAAGGGTTCAGTCATCAGATAGTGCTAATACAACAGAAGGAGATGACAACTCCCCAGTAAACGAACAATTACGGATAGCAATCAGAAGCAGTAAAAGAAGCTTGATTTTATTGCAGAGATTTATGGATGAAATCTCATTAAACAATAAAAGCAAAGAATATTACGAAACAAAAATACAAGGTATTGAGAATAGGTGCAGCACCGTTCAACAAGATGATAGAGAAGTATGCTCTAAACATGATGATCCTGATAAGCACGGCTATAATCGTGAGCTAATACATCAAGTATTAAAGAGGGCGCAAGATCTTATGATACAATTAAAAGAAAAAATGAATTCGACAAATAAAAATAAGAATAATGACACATCATTTAACATAAAAAACAAGTTACCAGCTATTACGATACCGACATTCGATGGAGCCTATTCGAATTGGATGCAGTTCAGGGATATATTTACAGAACTGATTCACAAACAAACACTTCCGAATGTAGAGAAGATGTTTTATTTAAAAGCAAACGTTCAGGGTGAAGCAGAAGCCCTAATTCGCCACTTGACAATATGTGAAGATAACTATTTTTTAGCGTGGAAAATCTTGAGCGAAAGATACAACAACAAGAGATTATTAGAATCTACAATAATTGAAAAATTTCTAAATCAACCGAATTTGATTGCTGGGTCAGCTAAATCATTAAAAAATATGTATGATGTAACAAAAGAATGCGTTTTATTATTGGAAAATTGGGGGTTGGAAATTGATGGAAGTTGGGATCCAATAATGTTGCAAATTTTATTAAAAAAGCTCGACAAGGATACGCATTCATACTACGAACAGTCACTGAAAAATCCTAAGGAGTTACAGTCATTACAAGAATTTTTGAAGTTTATCGAGATGAAGTTTCAATCATTAGAGGCTGTAGGTTCCAAACAATTTTCTGCAATGAAATATAAAACAACATCAAGTCAGAAGGCTTCATCATTTTCAACAACATACAATCCAATAAAATGTCCAATTTGTGGTAACGGACATTTAATAATTAGTTGTCAAAAGTTTACAAAAATGACAGTTCAAGAACGAGAGGCTCAAATTAGAAAGCTGAATTTATGTTTAAATTGCTTTAGATTTGGACATCAAAGAAATACATGTTTTTCAAGAGGATGCAAGAAGTGTGAGGCAAAACATAATACTATGCTACACAAAGAAAGAACTATAAATCAACAAAGTCTATTTAAAAACAGCAAATTAGATGCAAGCAGTACCAGCCAAGCAAATTCAACAGTATGCAGTCATCCAACAAAAACAAAAGTAGCAGCAAAGATAAATACGGAAATAAATCAAGATATAGGAAATGTAACTTCGAATGTAGGATCATCATTTCGTAGAAAAGAAAGCTATGTGTTTCTGGGAACTGCTCTAGTGTCAGTGACAGGAGCAGATAATAAACAACGTGATTGCCGTGTATTACTTGATTCAGGTTCACAAGTTAACTTTATTACCGAAAAATTACAAAAACAACTGAAGTTAGATACCAAGTTTCAAAAAATGGAAATAAATGGAATTGGCAATCTACAATTTATACCCACAACAGATCGGGTTAATATTAATGTCCAATCTAAAGTTAAAAATTTCAATATTAATATTGATGCCCAAGTCATTAAAAACATAACAAGCGATCAACCACAACGATTCATCAACATCAATGATTGGAATATACCAAAATCCATTAAATTAGCTGACCCCAATTTTAACCAACCTCAACGAGTTGACATGTTGTTGGGAGCAGAAATGTATGGCGAATTGATGCAATCAGGGCAGATTAGATTACAGCAAGATTTACCAATGTTACAGGACACAGTATTTGGTTGGATAGTCCTGGGACGAATAAGACAAGCAGAGCCTGTAGCATCTCTCACAAGTATTTCAAACCAAGACCTGGAGGATGAATTAATAAAATTTTGGGAGTGTGAAGAAATCGAAGAAGTGAAACCTTTAACGAAAACGGAACAACAATGCGAAGAATTTTTTAAAGCAACAACTAAACGAAATAATCAAGGGAGATTTATAGTCAATTTGCCTATTTTGGTTTCTCCAGAATTACTGGGAGAATCAAGGCATATAGCTCTAAGAAGATTTATTAATTTAGAGAATAAATTATCAAAAAATTTAGAATTGAAAAAGCAGTATACACAATTTATGGATGAATATTATAAATTAGGGCATATGAAGAAAATTAATGAAACTGATATTCCAAAACAACATTGTTTTTTACCACATCATTGCGTAATAAAAGAAGAGAGCAGTACGACTAAACTTAGAGTGGTTTTTGATGCATCAGCAAAAACATCGTCAGGACTTTCTCTCAATGATATTATGATGAAAGGACCAAAAACACAAGACGATTTATTTAACATTCTTTTAAGATTTCGAACATATAAATATGTTATCACAGCAGACATAAAACAGATGTACAGGCAAATTCAAGTCAACAAAAAAGATCAAAAATTGCAACTAATTATGTGGCGGTCAAATCCAAAGAACGAAATAAATTTTTATCAATTGACTACAGTAACATATGGAACCAGATCGGCTCCATACCTGGCTACGAGATGTTTAAATCAACTAGCAGCTGATGAATCAGTTAAATACCCAATGGCGGCACAAGTTATACAAGATTTTTACGTTGACGATATTATAACTGGTGGTAGCACTCTAACTGAAGCTATTGAAATTAAAAATCAATTAAGAAAGTTGTTGAAATCAGCTCAATTAGAGTTGCATAAATGGGCTTCAAATGATGAAAGATTGCTCCTGGACATACCAAAAGATAACAGAGAAAAAGAGAAAGAATTTTCAAATGATGACCAAGGATATATAAAGACTCTCGGTTTATCGTGGCAACATCAAAATGACATATTTTCATTTAAAACAACTTGGGTAGATAATGAAATAAAGTTAACAAAACGAAAGGTTGTATCAGAAACGGCACGGTTATTCGATCCTTTAGGTTTGGTCAATCCAATTATTGTTATCGCAAAAATATATATACAAAAATTATGGAAATCAAAAGTAGATTGGGATGAAGAATTGAATCATGAGTTACAACTAGAATGGAATAATTTCCGAGAAAGATTAATAGACATCAACAAAATCAAAATTTCAAGATACGTGGGAGTCATATGTCATGTCAGGGCAGAGCTTCATATGTTCGGTGATGCTAGCGAGAAGGCTTACGGGGCAGCAGCTTATTTGAGATTTATTGATTCATCTGGGACTATCAATTGTAAATTATTCTGTTCGAAATCTAAAGTTGCTCCTGTGAAATTATTGACTCTTCCAAGATTAGAGCTGTGTGCAGCACGACTCGCAACAAAACTTGCAAATAAAATAAAGTCAGTACTTAAAATTAACATTGATGAGACATATTTATGGAGTGATTCACAAATAGTGTTGTCATGGATCAAAGGAGATCCAGGGTTATTCAAGACATATGTCGCTCACAGAATTGCTTATATACACGAAAAAACAAAAGTTCACCAATGGAAGTACGTGAACACCAAAGATAATCCGGCAGATTTATTATCAAGGGGCATATGGTCGAAACAAACCAGCGAACTAGAAAAATGGTTTTATGGACCACAATTTTTACAATTGAAAGAAGAAGAATGGCCACAAAATCAATTTGAGGTTATGAGGTTAGAAGAAGAAGAGAGAAAAACGTCATTAATTGCAAAGGGTGAAGACAATGAAGTAGAAAACGATCATCCACTGTATAAAATCAATCATCGTAATTCATACAACGTTTTGCTTCGAACGATGGCCTATGTGTTAAGATTCATTGGAATAATGAAAAAGGAAAGAAGTGAAAATAGTTCGAAAGGCTGTTTAACAGTAACAGAGATGAATGATGCATTGTCATTAATTATTAAAGTGGTGCAGAAGAAACATTATTCGAATGAATTGAAGCAACTTCAACAAAGCAACAAAATTGCGAAAAATAGCAAAATAAGTTCATTAACACCGTTTTTAGATACACAAGGAATTATAAGAGTAGGAGGTAGATTAGATAATGCTTCAATATCGTACGATGCAAAGTATCCAATTGTATTACCAGGAGAAGAGTTTTTATCAAAATTAATAATCGAACATTTACACAAGAAACATTTTCATGCGGGACCACTAGCTTTATTCACTTTTTCTAGGCAGAAATTTTGGATAACACAAGGAAGAAATGTGTGCAGAGCAGTGACAAGAAATTGTATTAAATGTGCAAGATCAAATCCACAACTTTTACAGCAAATAATGGGCAATTTACCATCAGAAAGGGTTCTACCTTCAAGACCATTTAGCAATACCGGTGTTGATTTTTGCGGACCTATTTGGACACATTACTTAATAAGAGGGAAACGACCGCAAAAATCGTATATTGCAGTATTTTGCTGTTTTGCAACAAAAGCGATACATATGGAAGTAGTGTCTGACTTAACATCTGACGCATTTATTGGTGCATTAAAACGTTTCGTTGCAAGAAGAGGTTTATGTGAAAATATATTTTGCGACAACGCTACTAATTTTGTAGGAGCAAAAAATAAGTTAGACGAATTAAAAATATTACTTAGTAAACAAGAAGAACAAAATAAAATTATAAATAGTT